GCGCGCGCGCGTCTTGGGTTTTGCGACATATTGGCATATGTGTAGAAAAACGCTCTCCACACATGCTTTAATCACACTTTTGATATGTGTCGTTCTATTTGTGTGACAAAAAATATGTCATGTAGAGAAAAAAAAAATCATAATTAATAACTTTTGTTGTAGTGAATATAGTAATCAACCATAGTTGAATTGAGACATGCCTAATTCTCATTGGTGTAAGATTCTCTCTCTCTATGGAGAAAAATTGGTGTAAGAATCTCTGGTAAAGCAGGTTAAGGCGTTCAAAGACAACATCAGATTCAATAATTCTATTTCAAATTCTTCAAAAATAAATTTATTCCAAGTGAACACATAAGAGATTGGGAACATCTAAATGTTATTACAAATGAAAATTTCTTGCTCTTGATTATTGCTATAAGCCTAATATGAAATTCCCGTAGGGTGACCATTGAATTGAAATTCTTCAATTCTTTATTGTTGTGACAAGCGCAGACATAGAAGACCCCAGGGAACCTTCTAAAAAAGGCCTTTTCTTTCGCTCCTATATCCTTTTGGTTCTTAAGCAGCCCCAAATTATCTTTCTCTTTACTTCAAACTTAGATTATCCGAAGGTAAATGAGGTACCATTTAAAAAGAAAAGTACCAATAATCATTTGATTCTTCATCACCCCACTTTGCAAAATTGCAATTATATCCCGCATACTTATTGTGTCACCCAATTGGTTCCAACTTACGTGCAATCCAAATTTCCAGCTCATTATAGCGCAGGCGCAGGGTTCAAAACTAAAATTTCACGATAGAGTAATCAAATTAAGTACATTTCACGTTCATAATACACGATATGAGCATATTCGTTCAAGAGTAATTAGTCATCCATAATTATCTCCTCTTCTGCTTCTTTTAGGTGAATGATGTAGATGCCTTTATTGAGGTGAGATTACTTGCTTAGGTCTTTGTTAAAATCATGAAGAGGGATTAAAAATTCATTGTAACAAAAAGTGGGATTATCCACTTTTGATTGAAACAGGGGAATTAACAAAAATCTATGAAGCACCTATACCCTCTTTTACAACAAGTTCAAAGAATTAGAAGTGATGCTCAAAACACAAATCTATAATTTGTTGATTTTCATTCTCCTAATATATGCGGAGTGAGAGTTCTTTACACACCAATTAAATAGCAGAGTGACATAAGACCATAGGTATTCTACGAAATTAAATTCATGTGGGTGCTCCTCCGGAGAGTCGCACCCGAGATACTAGAATACTAATCATAGGCAGTTTATCAACTCGGCTAGACCCTCTTGGGTAACGGTAAACAAACTTTATCATCTGTATCTTAAATAACGATTAACTGGAGACAGAAAAGTTATTCATTGTGCGTGGTTAACAACTTGTAACCAAAGCTAGCAATTTAGACCAAATAATTAACAAAGAGACTAGTTTGAAAATAGCTAGTAAGGTTTTGAGGGACTTAAAAAGAACTTCATCGATTTGAGGGACTAATTTAAAAATACCAACGGAACATCTGATGCGAAAGTGATTTGGCTGGGGCAGGGGGTCTAGGCTAGACTGAATTCAGTCTGTCCAACACATCGGACAAGTTCTGTACACGGATTCAGTTTAGTTTCGATCCAAAACCTGCATCTAGCTAGGACCACCTAACGCTCACACGGTGCGGGTTCAAAGCGTCCGGATCCGCCACCGACTGCTCTCGCTGGTCCGAGCCCATCGAACACGCCCCAACTTTTGTGGATTCTAACATTTGCATCGGTACGAGAGAAAGGCTAAAGTCTTGAAGTTGACGGAGAGAGGGAGAGGACATCCATCTCTACTCATTGGAAGAGAAGCTTTAGCTTTTTATTGCTTTTTCCTACCTCATCTTTGTTCTTGTTTTTTTTTTTCTTTTTTTTTTTTTTACGCCCCAACTTTTGTGGATTCTAACATTTGCATCGGTACGAGAGAAAGGCTAAAGTCTTGAAGTTGACGGAGAGAGGGAGAGGACATCCATCTCTACTCATTGGAAGAGAAGCTTTAGCTTTTTATTGCTTTTTCCTACCTCATCTTTGTTCTTGTTTTTTTTTTTCTTTTTTTTTTTTTGCCCGCGTTAGTATGTCTTTAATTCCCCTTTTTTATTCGTGCTGGCGGTGGGCCCATCTAGCTTTCTTTTGAGATCGCAGGGTGAAAATGCGACTGGGGAGGGTTGGCACGCTGAGAATGATAAGGGTGCTGTGTTGGGTGTCATTATGATGGGGTTATATACACAAGGATGATGTTTGGTTTCGAATGAGTTCATGGTGGGGGGCTGCTGGCTTCTCACGCTTCTCACCCCATGCAGAGGGCACAATTATGAGGCGTCCCAGCTGCGTATTTGGACCACTAGGCCAACAGGGCCCCTCATAACCGCAGAGAGCCTCGTGTACACAGGGACGCGGGGGTGCAAACGATATCGATTTGATCGATCGGCTTTGATAAATTTCGATATAACCCAGCTGATTTTTTTTTTCTAGAATTAAAACCGAACTAGTCTGATAGCATCTATTCCGTTTCAGCTTGGACCCCATTCAATTCTGTCGAGGAAGCGAGCTATGCTTAGAAAAAAAAAAAAAAAGCACACGGATCAAGATGACGAGGAGAGGAAAACACAGATCAAGCATTCGACGAAAGAACAATGCGAATCGGTTGAGATAATAAAACTTAAGCAGAAGAGGTTGGGGGCATGCTAGCTACGTATAGTGACCGCTAGCTTAACATGGCCTCTCTAAATAGCTAGAGAGAGTCACGTGTACACAGAGACGCAGCGGGTGCAAATGATCAGTTTGGATGGTTCTGATAAAATTGGATGTAACCGAACGAGTCTGATCATGTCTATTCCATTTCAGCTGGGTGCAAAAAGATTGATGCTCGCCCTTTGTGCGCTAAGCGTTGAGGGCAGTTGGAAAGGCCCAATAAACTTCCGCTATACGTTATATTTTGTAGGATAGTAGGCCTAGGAGGCACATAAGAAGGCCCGATAGCTTTCAGTAAAAGCCCAGAAATCATCAGGTCATGGGATAACCCGAAAAATCAATTAATCCATTGGACATAGGTTATACACTACTATCAAATAGGTGAACTATTAATAAACAAATCTCTGTGCGATGATTTATTTTCCCATCATAGTTTTCAATAATTTCCCTAAAAAAACATAGTTTTCTCACATGTAAAAGCAAACAAATACAAGAATTTTTTTTAATAGAAATAATATATAAGATCAATATATGTGATACGGACGATTAAAACAATATCGACCTTGGCCTAATCTGACAGGAATTTCGTTGTTGGACTACATTCATAGGCCTCCACGCAACAATATTTCGGGCTCTTCAGAGCCAATTTTATCCCTCTCAAAGCCACTTCTTCGTTCAAATTCACCAAAACTTTCTGGGGGTAGGGAGGGGAAAAAAAAAGCAAAAGCGGAGAACAATTCGAACTCCAAATGCAAGTGCAACACTGCAACAATGAACAATGGCAAGCTTGTAATAAATGAACTCTCTCCCCTCATCAGAACCTTACACTCTCTCTCAACGAATCCCAACCCAAACTCCATTTCCCTCCCAAATCCATCCTCAATAGCCTCTGCCCTCCAACACTTCATCAATTCAAATTCGCCCTCTCCAGGCCAATCCATTCATGCCCACATTCTCAAATCTGGGTTCAATTCCACCACAAACATTTCTATCAAGCTACTAATCCTACACGTTAAGTCTGGTTCGCTCTACAATGCACGCAAGGTGTTCGATAAAATGCTGAAGCCAACTCTATCTGCATACAATTATATGATAGCTGGGTATTTCAAAGCAAACATTTTTGATGAATCTCTACAACTTATTAGAAAGATTGCGTTATCTGATGAAAGGCCAGATGGGTTTACCTTGTCGATGGCTCTGAAGATCTCTGGGGTGAATTTTTCACTTCGTCTAGCGAAACAAGTACATTCCCAGATTGTGAGATTGGAACTAGAAAAGGACGAGGTCCTGTTTGCAGCGTTAATTGATTCCTATGTGAAGAATGGGAAGCTTAGTTATGCTAGGAGTATATTCGAGTCAATGCCGAATAGGAATCTTGTGTGTTCCACTGCTTTGCTTGTGGGATATATGAATGAACAATTATTTATAGATGCTAAAAGAATATTTGATACAATCATAAGAAAGGATATAGTGATATATAATGCAATGATTGAAGGGTACAGCAGAACTGCTGAAACTGCCATGAGATCACTTGAATTGTATAAAGACATGCAGAGTTTCAATTTCATGCCAACAGTTTCTTCTTTTGTGAGTGTGATTGGAGCATGCTGTCTCTTGTCAGCCCTTGAATTTGGTGTACAAGTTCACAATCAAATCATCAAGATGAATGATTTCTCCCATGTAAAGTGTGGGAGTGCCCTTGTTGATATGTACTCCAAATGTGGTAGAATAAAACATGCACGAAGTATTTTCGATCGAATGCCAGAAAAGAATGTGATCACTTGGACAGCGATGATTGATGGATATGGAAAAAATGGAATTGCTGATAATGCTCTCGAGCTGTTCAACTTGATGAGAGATAGTAGGGTTAAACCAAATCATGCTACATTTTTGAGTGTTTTATCAGCTTGTGGTCATGCTGGACTAGTATCCAATGGTAAGGAGGTTTTTGAGAGCATGGAGAAGGATTTTGGACTAAAACCGAGAATGGAGCATTATGCTTGTATGGTGGATATACTAGGACGATCAGGGAACTTGAGTGAAGCGTATAATTTTATTCTAAGGATTCCCGAGAAGCCAAATTCTGATGTTTGGGCTGCATTGTTAGGAGCTTCAAGGTTCTATGGGGATGTAGAGATGGCAGATATTGCAGCGAAGAAGGTTTTTGAATTGACAGGTAAAGAGAGGCCTGGGGCTTATATGGCCCTCTCTAATGCCTTTGCTGCTGTTGGGAATTGGGATGGTGTTAGTGAAGTGAGGGAGTTGATGAAAGTGAGGGGGGTATCTAAAGGCGCAGGTCGTAGTTGGCTGGGGACGGACAAAAGCTGAATCGAAATCCACTGCTAAGTTATTTACATGAGCTCCAACATCATCAAGACTTAAGATTGTTACTATCTTAAGATGCCTTAAATTTTTTACTTGGGTAAGAATTTGAACGGTTCTCTGAATTGAGCAAGCACAACCGGTGAGTCTCCTATGAGCTCAACTTATCTAAAAAGTCCTTATTGAATTTAATATAGTCTCAAGATATTACTGCTTATAATGATATAAATAGAATTTTCCGTGCAGGTTTTACATCTGATATAACATTGCGAGAAAAAAATAAATGTGACGAAGTTGTCTGAGTTGTACCATTACCATTTCTGAATTCGTTATTTTTATGTTTGTATTTTTTACTTCGCATTGAGACTGGACGTCTGAGATTGAAGTTCTGTAATTCTTTAGTTCAGGCTGTTCTATTCTTCTCTCAGGGGAAATTTCCTTTCTATGAAGTGTTATTTCTCTATTTTTATTTTCTTTTATTTATTTATTCTTTTTCTACTTTCTTATTTGGTTATGCTAGCCTTTTGTAAATAAAAATAATCATATGCAGAACTATTATTCCGTAGTCCCCAGGAGGAGATAAAGGAGGGGAAAAAGGGACCTCTTCAGATAATCTAAACGTGTGGCTACGTGAGCCCAATTGCTACCCATCATCCAATCACTGAACCCTATCATCTTTCTACCTTTTTTCTTACTGAAAGGAAATTAAAACCAAGCATTCTTGAAAACAAGAGCAAAGAAGGAAAGCAGAGCGCATGGCTTCCACAACTCTCTCCACTGCTGCCACTCAGGTACCCATCTTATTTCCAATAACCAACTTCATTTTATAATCCTTTACTCCATTTCTCATTCGAAAGTTTGCAGCTTTGTGCTGGTAAAAATGGGATTTTTGCACCATCGCAAGCTCTCATGGCTAAGCCGGCCAAAGGTTTAGGATTTGGGAAGGGGAAGGGAATGAAGGTGACGTGCATGGCGTCAAGCATTTCAGCTGATAGAGTGCCGGACATGGAAAAGAGGAAGCTGATGAATCTTCTTCTATTAGGAGCCATTTCTCTACCTTCTGCTGCGATGCTAGGCCCATATGCTTTATTCTTTGCTCCACCTGGGTGAGTTTTTAATTTCCCCTTTTTCTTTGTCAAACTTAAAATGGGTATTGATATTTTGCTTTTAA